ACTCCCACTAGGTTTATATCTGGGACATATATATATGTTTTACTTATCTTATATTATTATTACTATTTTTCTCATTTTCTCATTTTCTCATTTTTTTTAACATGCTCAATGCATCATGTTTGGCATGTCAAGTGTACAGCACTTTGTGTTCAGCTGGTGGCTGATCTGAAAGCGCTATATAAATAAATTGCTTGCTTGCTTGGGACTTTCCACCATTTGACCTTAGAACTGAAGAAGCTTCTCGTATGAGAGGTGAAACGTCTTCAAGTAACTTAAAGAAGTCCAGACGCTTTTCTTTGCAAGCTCCTTTGACTGCGACTACAGCAGTAAAGTTGCCTCTCTCAGTTTTCCCCTCTTGTGTTTGGGTCCTATCCTGCTTGCTGAACATGAAAAGATGTGATGCAACACAGGTTTTAAACAGCTGTGAAAATCACTGAATTCTGTTTTTAAAAGCATATTTACAACACAAATATTTCAGAGTCATTCTAGTATAGACTGTACTGCAAAATCATGTGAGTCATATCCTGTTATTTTAAATTGATGATGCAACACTATTAAAAATATATAAAGACAGCGAAGCATGAGTCAGCTTCTTTTCCTAATTTCTATTTAGTCATCACCACCACTGTCTTCATTTCTCCCACGCCCCAGTAAAAACTGTATCAGTTAAAAACTAAATAAAGATTTCAACTAAAAAAAATCCCCCAAAACAAACAAAAAAAGCCTTTACTTCTTGTTACAACTCATAAAGTCATTTTCTGAACTGCTATTCCTGTTTTGTGGACTTCCTGTTAATTTAAACTCAAACCACATCTAGTTTACTGACGCAAAGTAATGAGATATGAAGGTGGGAGGAGTTCTTTTTAAAAGTAAAACAGGGTGAGGACAGACAGAAATTCACTAACATCAGTCGAGCTCAGGAGACAATCAAGATTTGAAGATGAGCATCCAAAAACAACAGATGAAGTTGCTGCTATTCATCCTCTCACTGATGGCAGGTAAAAGGTTTCTAATACGTCACATCTGGTATTACATGCTAGTCGCTGCTATACTGTTATGACATCATGTTATGGAAACATTTATTACAACATACATTTTTGCCTCCAGTACAGTTTTCTATATAGTCAGTACAGTTTCAGTGATGTGCTTCTGTACTGTGTTTATGACTGATAACTATATGAGTTTACAGAAGCATGCGTTCATGCAGACAGATTAACATACTGAGAGAATAAAATCCCTCTCAGTAAAGAGACAGTTCAGTTGTTTTTATGTGTTAGACAATAAAACTTTCATTATTGTGCTTTTTTTCGGAAATATAAAACAGTAACTGTCAATCTTCAAAGCAAATTTTCAGTATCATAAATTAATTTATTAAATCATTTTGCAGAGAATAGTCTAAGAAGCTTTGAAAGAAAAGCGTCTGGAGTTTGACCCACACTCATTTTCACACCTTGGCTCACGTGATTAGGTAGAGGATCAATAAGGTGTCCGTGACCTTCTTGCGGACACTCCCATAGGGCTTAAAATCTGGGACTCTCCACCATTTGCTCTTAGAACTCAATTAAATTGAATTCAAATGTATTTATACCAAATCACAACAACAGTCGCCTCAAATATATATTTATATTGTACAGTATATCCTATAATAATAGATACAGAGAAAAACCCAACAATCATATGACCCCCTATGAGCAAGCACTTTGGCGACAGTGGGAAGGAAAAACTCCCTTTTAACAGGAAGAAACCTCCAGCAGAACCAGGCTCAGGGAGGGGCGGGGCCTGTTGCGACCGGTTGGGGTGAGAGAAGGAAGACAGGATAAAGACATGCTGTGGAAGAGAGACAGAGGTTAATAACAGATATGATTCAATGCAGAGAGGTCTGTTAATACATAGTGAGTGAGAAAGGTGACTGGAAAGGAAAAACCCAATGCATCATGGGAATCCCCCAGCAGCCTACGTCTATTGCAGCATAACTAAGGGAGGATTCAGGGTCACCTGGTCCAGCCCTAACTATATGCTTTAGCAAAAAGGAAAGTTTGAAGCCTAATTTTAAAAGTAGAGATAGTGTCTGTCTCCTGAATCCAAACTGGAAGCTGGTTCCACAGAAGAGGGGCCTGAAAACTGAAGGCTCTGCCTCCCATTCTACTGTTAAATACTCTAGGAACAACAAGTAGGCCTGCAGAGCGAGAGTGAAGTAGGGTGATATGGTACTACAAGGTCGTTAAGATAAGATGGGGTCTGATTATTTAAGACCTTGTATGTGAGGAGCAGGATTTTGAATTCAATTCTGGATTTAACAGGAAGCCAATGAAGAGAAACCAAATGTTGCCATGTTGAGGCTGTCATTTTTAGCATCTACATGGATGTTGAAATCACCCACAATAATTATTTTATCTGAGCTCAGAACTAAATCAGATAAAAAGTCTGAGAAATCAGACAGAAACTCTGTGTTAGGCCCAGGTGGACGATAGATGATAACAAGTAAGACTGGTTTCTGAGTTTTACAGTTGGGGTGGACGAGGCTAAGCATCAGGCTTTCAAATGAAGCTTGGCTTAGAACTGAAGAAGCTTCTCGGATGAAACATCTTCAAGAAAAGACGCTTTTCTTTCCAAACTCCTTATCCTACAATGACCTGGATGACTGAGAACCTTGACAGACATTTTGCAATTCATTTGTTATATATCGAGCTAAAAGGCACGGCTACAACACAAAAACACAACATTTCAAAATTGTTCACAAAGAATGAAACTGAACAAGAAGAAATAAAACACTTGTATGTTTTGTCATACACCATAATTATGCATTCATATTAATTTAACTAATTTAGATCAAACTGGCCATTTAAAACAAATGTAATAAGAGACATTAAAATAAATAACTGTGTGTGACTTTTGACGTCTGACATGATGTGAATATTTGTCTTTAGGTTGTGAGCGGATGTCAGAAGCAGCACCCTGCGAAGGAGAGTGGGTTAAATTCATCTTCAATCAAAAAACAAATGGAAGATTTCAAATGGAAAAAGTTGTTAATCTTCCTCAAAAAAACAAAATAAACCCTGGCAAGTTGATCGTCAAGGAGCTTAATAATGCCGACAGCAACGGAAAACAATCCAAAGACACAGAATTTGAAGTTGGTACGAAGTTGTGGGTTTTTTGGTCCCATAAAAGAAACTTTATTTGCAATGTTAAATAAGATAAATGTAATGAAGAGTAAAATATCTGATACATACTTTACTGTGTTTTATCTTGGTTTTCTTTTTTCCCTTTAGATAAAGATGGGTGCCCCAAACCATTTTATCAAACTGCATACAGAAATAATAACACCACCATCACCTGTGATTCTCCTGATGGAAAATACAAGCCCGCTTTTTTCTGCAAAGAGGATAACTCCACTTGTCAGAACGTTTTACCAAAAAGCCCTTCTCCACAGCCAAACTGGAGAATCATGTCAACAAACACCAGCAGCAGCATTTCCATCAGTCATGTGTCCTCACAGGATGCTGGAGTCTACTGGTGTGGAGTGAAATCAGGTGACAAAGAGTTTTTACTTCAACAAATACATCTAGAGGTTAAAGGTGAGTAATTCCCATCTTCACCCTCTTATGTTTCAATTTTATATCAGGGCATGACTAAAATACTACATGTTATAGTGCAGATGTAAATGAAGAAGTTCCATGTTACTGAAGAGCTTTACGATAAGAACACAGAAGGCAGGGACTTTACTCCCGATACTGCAAAAATGAACTTGAATTTGAATTTATTTATTTAAAAGGGACAGTGCAGTTTAACATAGTCCAAGTACAAACATGAAGCTGATGTAACGCACATAAGTTTATAGCTATTGCTAATTGTCAACAATTGTCCCTTGTTGGGCTTACAATCAAAATAGATACATTTTACAATAAAGCATACACTTTCATAAAACCAAATGACATCATAAATACAATTACAGTTAATAGACAATAAATTAAAATAATATTAAAATTAGTTAAAATGGCTACATCTCTGATTTCCTTTTAACCAAACTTTAACCTTCAATGTAAAGGATCTGATGTCTGTAATCAATTTGATTTTGGTTGGAAGTGTGTTCCACAGATGGCAACGCCTTTATGGAAAAAGCTGACTGACCAAATGTAGATCTTATGTTAGTCCATGTTTTATCCTTTGAATCCCCTCTTGCATTTGCCATTCAATTGGGAAGGGAGACACAACAGTATCAGAATGAGGCTCTCTGTGTTGTACGCAATGTCAATCAGTCTATTTCACTTGCTGGTTTTATCTGTAAATATATTGCAATATAATAGCTTGCAGTTGCCGTTCACCTTGCGATTACTATCTTGTCTCTGGATGTATCCATCCTATTTATACATTTAAAGACTAATTTAAGAAAACACAAATGATTAAAACTCTTAAAACTAAGTAGATTATATTTCTTTAAAATGTGACAGTGATGCCACCGAACAGAGTTTTTATCCATTATTTTTAAAGATTGGTTATATAAGGACACCACAGGCTGAATTATAGATGGTGTTGCTTGGGTCCAAACTGTCATACAATATGAAAAATGAGAGAATATCATAGAATGCATAAATAACTGAGCCTCTGAACTAGGTATATAGTGCCGAATCAACTTAAAACAATTCAGATTAGCGTTGACCGTCTTAGAAATCTTCTTTACATGCTTGTCAAATTTAAGATGTGAATCTAAAATTATTCCCAGAAACTTAAAATCTTTGACCTTTTTTATTTCTTTGTTCCTTAACTTGATTTTAAAATCATCAGATGAACTTAGTTTCCTAATAGAAAAACACATAGAAACTGTTTTTTTCTTTATTCAATACAAGATGATTATGTTCCAGCCATTGTTGGACATCATTTAGATGTGCCGATAAGGTGTCTGCTGCTTCACCAGGTGACTTAGCTGGTACGTGTATAACTGCATCATCTGCATAAAGTTGGCAGCTAGCTTTTGGACAACTGGCAGGCAAATCATTTATAAACAAACTTTCTCGTTTGGCTCTCAGCGAAGGCGGTCGCACTTTTCTCCTCTCCTCTCCCTTATCTTCCCTGCTTATGTCCTTGTCTTGTCTCGTGTTTTTTACTACTTTTCTCTGGAACATTCTCTCACAGTCTGTTCTCTAAAACCTAAAAGAGGAATTATGGATTGGATCAACTGGTCCCTAAATGCAATTGACACCCCTTTCTCAACGAGAAGTTTGGGCTTGGGTGAGCCTGAGTGCTGAAGATATCTACCTATTCGGAACCATGGTAACAGGGTTCTGCTGATCGGAGCTGGCTTGGCCCTGACTTATCGAAGAATTAAGAAAGCGGAACCGGCTGTTCAAACCCCCACAAGGCTGCCCGCTGGGATTGGAACGATGGGAAGAGGCGTGAGTTTCTCAAAATGGGCTCATTGAGTGCAGCACGGATAAGATCTTGGAGAGGCTACGGCTGCTGTGAATACTCAGAATAAGATCTCTGACTGCAGACTGGATACATCTCGGAAGGGCTACGCTCGGAATAACATCTCTGGGCGCAATTGGAGACACTCGAGGCACCTGCCGTGAGTTCTCAGAAATCGGCTCCTTGAGCACAAGAATGAACAACATCACAGAACGCAAGTATGGCGAAGCTCGCGGTCTCCATATCGGGCAGTGGACCTCTGGCCAACACCAGTAGGAGGTAGGGTAAAGTGTCTTGCCCAAGGACACAACGACCAGGACAGAGAGCCCAGATCGACCGCTTCCGGTTACAGATAGCTTCCCAACCCCTGAGCCACGTACGCTCGCGTTTAGTTGTTCCTTCCCATTCCATGCAAGGCCACCTGGGTTGGCTGGAAGACTGTTTACTTAGCCTGGCAGGGCGAAGGACACTGTCTCAGCTGAACTATGGACACGCACACATACACTTACACTGATAAGCACACACTCATCCCCCTCCCTTTCCAAACGCCTTCGATGCTTGTTTCCTGCGGGGGAACACGGCGGGTCTGTGTGCCGCGCTGGAATGGTAGCGCTGTGCAGGGCGGCTGCTGTGTTCGCTTCGGATTACTCCTCACCCCCCACCCAATCCTGTGGCTTGTCATGTCTTTCACAATGTTGTGCTGTGGACATTTATGTGCTTTTTGTGCAGAGGAGTTTTTTTGTTTCCTGTTCTCATGCTGTCCTACCATGGAAGCACAGCATGAGTAGAGGTCTCTTTTTTTCCTCTTGTACTTTCCCATTGTAGTGTATATTTCAGTGTTTTTTCTGTAACGCTACCGATCTCCGACTTGTATCCCCATGTAATGTCTGTGTTGTGTGTGTAAGGTCGGGGGGGGGGGGGGGGGGGGGGGGGGGGGGGGGGGGGGGGGGGGGGGGGGTGGGGGGGGTATAACTGCATCATCTGCATAAAGCTGGCAGCTAGCTTTTGGACAACTGGCAGGCAAATCATCTATAAACAAACTAAACAGCAATGGGCCAAGTACAGATCATTGGGGAATACCCATTCTGTTTTCCAACATGGATGACTTTTCTTTATCAACCCTCACACACTGCTCTCTTTTGTGAAGATAGGACTCAAACCAATCAACTGCTTGCTTTGCAAAGTCAAATTTTATCAACTTGGAAAGAAGTATGTCGTGGCTGACAGTGTCAAAAGCCTATTTTTGGTCAAGGAACACTGCACCCACAACTTTACCATTATCCAGATTACACTTAATATTTTCAACAAAATAGCAATTTGCCATTTCTGTGGAAAATTTTGGTCTAAAACCAAACTGCATTGGATGAAGCAGTTGATTAGTCTCTAAGTAATCAATTAACTGTGCTGCCACAGCCTTCTCAAGCACATTTGAAAGAACAGAGAGTATGGAAACTGGACGATAATTACATATCAAGTCACGCTCGCCTCCTTTAAAGACTGGAGTAACTACAGCCCCTTTCCACTCATGCTAGAATGCTAGAAATTATAAATATGTTTGCAACAAAACATTTTTCTTTTAATAGAAACATTTGAAGATCATTTTAAAATAACTTTATTGTGACATTAAAGGATAAAGTAAGACATGTTTTAAGTATTTTGTCGAGGTCCAGTTTATAAAAAGCTGTGAAAAAATGTTGTTTTTTTAATGTATCACTCTGAAATGTTTTCAGTGTTTTCAATACTTTTTTTTTAGAGTATTTTACATTATTAATATTTTAAAACTTTATTTTTGTAAAATTCCTCAACAGAGACCTTCTGGATGGTTAAAAAACAAACCTGTGGGTTAATATTTTCTCTTTGGTCTTTCTTTTATTTTACAGATGGCTTAGAGGTTATCATCAGTGTTACTGTGTCTGTAGCTGTGCTCCTGCTGTTTCTGATAGCACTGATCCTCATCTACAAACGTAAGAATGTTCGCAGTTTCAAGATATTTTTTATTTCATTAAATTAATGGTCTTTGGCAATTCGTAGTTAAACCAGATTTACATTAAAACCAAACTATGAACTACTAATAAATAATTCTGCTTGGTTGCTATTTTAGGAAATGGTGCAGCAGGACGTCATGTCAAAGAGGTTTGTGATGAAATGATTTCTTTTTTTACTTTTATTTATCAAAACTGAGTTGAATTGAAAATCACAACAGCAGTCACCTCAGGGCACTTTATATTAAAATAAAGCCCTACAGTAATGGAGAGAAAACCCCAACAATGAGATGACCCCTTATAAGCAAGCGCTTTGGCGACAGTAGGAAAGACAAACTCCCTTTTAACAGGAAGAAACTTCCAGTAGAACCATGGTCAGGGAGAGGAGATCATCTGCTACAGGTGGTTGGGGGTGAGGGGAGGGAGACAGGACAAAAGACATGCTGTGGAAGAGAGCTTCAATGAGTAGTAATAATAAGTAATGATTCAGTGCAGAGAAGTGTATAAACACATAGTGAGTGAGAAAGCTGACTGAAGGAGAAACACTCAATGCATGATGGGAATCACCCCCACAGCCTACACCTACTGCAGCATAACTGGGAGAGGATTGAGGGTCACCTAATCCAGCCCTCATCTGGTTTCGCAGAAGAGGAGCCTGACAGCTAAAGGCTCTGTCGTCTTCCTTATGAAGCAAGAACTACACAGTCGACAGACGGATGTTAAAGTTGTTTCTTAATGTTTGTGACATTTCTGCAGGTTTATTGTAAATTCTTATTTATTACATGGTGAACTTTGCTTACTTGGACTTTCCAAGTCATCATGTTACACTATAATCCTATAATTGCTGAGCTGTTAGGTCAATGGAATAGGTTGTAGTGGAAAAAGGTTGTGAGATTCAGTCTCCCCAGTGATTTAGCTTTCAATAATCTCTCACTCTTCTTGTAACTGTTTGTTTTATTTTTTCATTATAAACATAATATAAAGACGTGAGTCTAGACAACAATGAAAACTCTCCAATGTCTGCAAAACGTCAATTTTGGAATCATTTCAGACTTCACAACAAGACAAAAAAATGTCAGCTGATGGTTATTCAAGGCTGAATAGTAGAAAAAATTGTAAAAAAAAAAAAAAAAGTATATTTTTTGTTTTTGGCAACATAGGAACAATTTCTATGGATAGTGTTTAGACATAAACTCATTTTCTGCTTATTGTTGAAGGACTGTATCTGTGAGGAGAGACAGGAGAACCTCCAGAACCCAGAAAATGCAGTGAACTCGATTTCCATCAGTGCCAATAATCCCATAAACCACACTGCCTCGCCACATTACGCTGCCATCAACATTCAAGTGAGGTCTGAAAAAGCTGGCAGTGTGATACTCCAACCCAGCTCCTCTGCCTGTGAGTATTCTGCTGTGAAGTTCAGCAAGTGTCCAGACGACCTGACCGTGACCGAACCACACAGACTGGTGAAGTAGATCCTCCACTTATCAGGCAAAATGAAAATGAAAAAAAGATCAGCTCTGTGAGGAACATGTTTGTTGTAAAATTGTTAAAAATTAGCAAGGAATCATGTGATTACTTTGGGTTTCGGGATTTAAACCAAGCTATTTAGATGAAAGTCTCACATTTTTGTGACAGTATTCGTCTGTTTGGGGGTCTTAGACTTCTGCCAGATTATCTACCAGTTCACATCAGCAGTGAAATGCATTGTGTCTCAATGGACCTGAGATAATGTGTTATACCATGCTGTGGTATGATGCACAGAGTTGAACACAGTTCATTCAGCCCAATGCAGAGTTTAAACCAGTTCAGAGCACAGTTAGTGAAGATGAATTTAAGCTGATACTAAAATGGAAATGAGGCACACTGGGAAATTTCGTCAAATTAAAGTCTGCTCTTCAATCACATCTTAATTGTTGTTATATTTACAGCTGAATGTGATGGTTTACAGAGACAAAAGTACAAAAAACGTGATGCACAAATACTTATGAAGCTAACTGTGTCACCACATGGACAGGTCGATCCACCGTTCTCTACCAGTCAGAACAGTGGGCGGTCACTCAGGGAGTGAACTGGTCAGCAATCCCACATAACATGAAAACAATCAAAAGTGATGTTGTGAGTTTGACACACAAACCAGCTTTTCAGGATTGAGATCATCAGCAGTTGCACCAGTTTGTTTTTACAGTGCTGTTAATGATGTAAAGTTGGGAAATAAATACAGACTGTGGGGGATGTGTCATTATTATCTTTTTGTCATCAATTGCATCATTTCTCTGTGGAAGTCAGAGTTTCAGGCTGCATGTGAGAACTGTGTAGACTCAACTGATTCTCCTCGCAATAATAGAATTTTATATGAAAGTACTAAATGTCTATTTCTGTCACACTGTGCCACACACTTCCTGTTATTTATACTTAAACCACTTATTTCCTCTTTATCAGCAAGAAGCAATAAGGTTGGTGAGAAAATAAACTTAAAAGGGAAGGACAGAGAGAGACGAGGGAACAAAGTTTTAGGTCAGAGAAGAGAAACGATCAAGAAACAACACTGGACGCCAAACACCCGAGAGACAAACAGCCAAAGGCAAACTAGTCTGACCGACCATTCTAAGTACTAAGACACATTTTAACCCTAAATGTAGACAACAATTAGTTTCGTATACTTGATGATATATAGTTTGTTATGAGGAGGCAGTGCTAACCACTGTGACCACACTCTGACACACACTCGTACATCCACACTCAAGATGAAATCTCAAACCAAATAAGGGAAACGATCAAACCTGGTGATGGTTTTTAGTCTTTACTTTCAAATTTTCTCCCCTGGTGGAGAAATATTGGAGAAAACTGTTTATGTGCTTGATTTGTCTGTAAGAGTTAATATGTGAGATTAGTGTCATCCTGGTTTGACAAACAGCAGATCGAGTTGTGTTTATTTCTTCCAGCTGTTTGTGTATTAAATGTGATTCATAATTCAGTTCTTGAATTTTAATGAATTGGCTTTGATAATGAACACAAAGAGAGGGTCAGACAGGTGGTACAACATGAATACTTTTGTGAGACAAGTGAGCTGTTCCGCACAAAGTCACTAAACAAAGATTGTAAACAGATATAAACGCACACTTTCTATCATTTTTGTGTCTTGAAAGTGTACAAATGTTCTGTCTTTGCTTTCAAAGGTTGTGTCTTTGGTCATGGGACTGCTTATACGTGCTTCTTTTAAAACCACAGCTATTTTAATCACCACCACCATCTTTTTCTACTCCATCACTTCCTCATTCTCAAATCACACCCTCAAATATTTGAGTTATGAGTTAACCACAGCAAACATTTCTGGCACAACTTCACCTACTTTCAAGGTTTGAACCAGCTGACATATACCAGGTTAGTATTGGTTAATTGGTTAAGTCACGCCCAAGTAAATACTGGACTAAGTCATTAATGATGAAGACGGGGTGAGGAGACATAATCCACACCTGTCTTAAAATACATGCATGAAATACATAAAAAGAATATTACAAATATACAAAAAATGATAACAAAGAAAAACATTTAATTCAAAAAGAAGTCAGTGCAGCAGTTAGATTTAAAAACAAGAGGACATCGTCACATGGATAAACATTTGTGGAAAGGTCCTCATTTATGTCTCTCAAATTTAGACTTAAAACGAGACATCTAGAATGTTACTCCCTCTTTTACTGAAAAAATAAATAGAAATAGATAAATAGACAGACATTACCCGTGTGAGAATGATTGACAGAGCAAAGTAACTGGTAAAAAAGAATAAAAAAAAGGGTACAGTTCACAAACACTCATCGATAGAAAAATTCTCATTCATACCTCTAGGGTGCAGACTCGTAAAACAGAATATCCAAAATGATTCTCTATTAAAATTAATATTACCACCTCATTGGTTTAGTTTAATGGCTAGATCATTAGATCATTCGTCTTTGAGAAAGTTGAGTCATGATTTAACCTCATATAACTCTGAACGAGGTGGGACTATTTCGACCAAATGATATTATCTCATGTTAGTTTACAGTGACAGGATATTTGTAGAATGTGACAATCAAATATGTGATTGAAAAGAGCTAAAAGTGATTGCATAAGGGAATGTTTTCACTGAGCATGCAGACCATCACTCCCTCTGTGATTACATTTGACTAATGACATCAGCACTGCTTGATGTGCTGGAGGATATTAATGAGCTTTAGTTGACAAAACGACAACAAGGAACACTGAGCCGCCATCTTAAATAGCGGCTCAGGCAATCAGACAGATCAACGGCAGGTGGTTGATGAGGCCAGGTGCCTGGGCCACGGGCGGGAGGTGAGAACTGCCAAGATGAGCTCAGGCCAGGCAGACAGAAGAGAGGGAGAGACAGCAACACAAACACATGGACTGAAACTAGGTCAGCCAGGGAGACATGGAGACCATCACAAGACAATAATGAAACTAATAAAAGTAACTTACTGTAATTTACTCTACTTATCTAAAAATCTTTAAAAGCACTGGGTGCAAAGTGTTTTGACAACCAAGCAAATACAAATACTACATTTAAACAGAAAGATGGACATTAGTGTCAAAGAGTAAAGTTAGGACAGAAGACAAAAAACAACATAGTGGACACAAATAAAATTATTAATAGAACCGAGTAAACAAGAATAATGAAAAAGTTTTGCAAATGACTAAAAGCTATAAGAAATGAACATGGGCCAATGAAAAAACATGATAAGTAACATCACAGTATGATCTAAGGAGCTTGGAAAGAAAAGCGTCTGGACTTCTGTAAGTTGCTTGAAGATGTTTCACCTCTCATCCGAGAAGCTTCTTCAGTTCTAGGGTCAGATGGTGGAGAGTCCCAGATTAAAGCCCTGTGGGAGTTTCCCACTGAGAGGGACAAAGGCCCCCCTAATGATCCTCTACCTAATCGCCTGAGCCAAGGTGTGAAACTGGGTGTAGGTCACAATCAGCCAGCGTTTCGGGTGAGTTCATTGTGAAACCTGGCCCCACCCTATCATGTGATTTCCTGAGGTCAGATGGCCCAGGATGTGAGTGGGCGTTAAGGCGTCTGGGGAGGGAACTCAAAACTGGATTATAGATGGCAGACAGTTGGTGTCTTAAACCACCGCCTCTGTTCAAAGATGGTCTAAAAGAGAAGTCTAAAAACATGTCTCTGCTTCATCGTGGTGAAGAGTGACCTGATTGTAAAAGCGACTCTCAATTTACTGGTGGATCTACGTCCCCACCCTCACCTCTGGTCACAAGCTTTGGCTGGTGACTGAAAGAATGAGATTGTGGATGCAAGCAGTGGATATGAGCTCACTCCGAAGGGCGTTGACAGCAGCCAGTTGTTGAGGTGGTTCGGGCTTCTGACAAGGATGCCTACTGGGCACCTCCTGGGTCAGGTGGTCTGGGCATGTCCCACCGGGAGGAGGACACGCTGTAGAGATTATATCTCTCGACTGGCCTGGAAACACCTTGAAGTTACCTGGGCAAGCTATAGGCGGCTATTAAAAAAAAGCTATAAAAAACGATACGTAAATCGCTCCGTGTGCTCTGCTGAAATAAGAATCTGCCTCCTTGTTACCTGCTTTGACCTGTTTGTGACAATCATGTTGTGTTATGTTATGCCATCATCACACTGTTATCCACTGGACCTTTTTTGATGTTAGGCCAACTCATTACCACAGTGATCTAGTAGTACCACGGGGTCAGGGGTGGAGGGGCGATTTTTGAATGTATACTGGTAAAAAACACATTTGTTGGGATGTTAGAGACTGGAACTCTCTACTGTGCAGTTTTTGTTGTTTGCTTTTCTAAAGTTGTGATCGTGTAGTGTTAAAGTTTCATTAATGTTTGCTGGTTTTATTGTAAGTTGATGACATGAGAGTGGATATTAAATAGCATTAAATGAATAAAAATAAATGAACTGTTTTGTCCTTCATGTTATATTCCTTTAAGACAACAAACAAGCATATTTTAAGAGACTGTGATAGTAACAATTTTTGCAAAAACATGAGAGCTAACCGATATGGACAACAAATACAAGTCTTGTGCACATTACACCTACAGGAGCTGTTCAGCTACGGAAATACCACAAAGCTCCAGGTGCAGTTTTTTACTGATGGTGTTTGCTGATGATAATGAGAGAAGAGGTGTGGAAGTCTGCAGCCACTGAGTCAGTAATGTTAGTCGCTGTTATGCGCTGTGGCCTCAGCAAACTTCATGTGACCCTGGTGCGAGATGTACATTAAATGAAACGATGGTGATCATGCACGTTTTGTCTTTGCTTTTAACTTAATATGCTTTTAGCCATAGAACCAACAACCCTTGAACCTGTACGTGTAAAAGGAAACATTCTTGTAAACCACAGAAAACATCAGAGGAAGTGGTTTGATACTGAAGGATGGTGGCTAATTTTGTGTGTTTGAGATAAATTACTACATGCAAAGAGATTTTGAACTCTAATGAGACTACCTACTGTAATGAGATATATAAATAAAGTATATACGTACTGTGTAGTATAAACCACAGGAATAGAGAACTGACTAAAGGGATAGATTTTGTAACATAAAAAGGGCAGATTTTTAGAGTAGAATACAAAAGAGTAGAATATGAGTAGAGTATAAATTATCTCAAAAAAGAGGTATTAAAAAAACTCTTGTCTTAGCCCCAGTGGGTCTGTGATATGAAGGGAAACTAAGCAGGCTTTTATTTTTGTACAAAATTATCTCTGAGATTACAGTTAGCTGAAGCTGTTGATGTAAGCTATCATTTCCCAATAAGCAAAACCAGCTACTCTTTTAGTTTAGTTAAAAACAGCTTTTAAAACTAGAGGTCTTAAATCTGCAAACCTGGATCACTAAAAAGGTCCAAACCTGCAGTTTCTCTCTCTCTTTTTAAATCAAATGTGCAATCGAATGATCCCAGGAGTGACATTTTACAAAACATTAAGTGTCTGAATCATCCCAACACTGAATTCTTGTTTTGGTCATGAAAAAATATTCGATTTAGTTACATTTTTTGTAAATGCACTTTAAATTGTAATGCACACATAATAAGACACTGGAACTGATTTTAATGTATCTTTAAATGGCTCATTAGTTGTTTCCAGAACATAATTGTACTTTTTTAGACACTGAAAGGTTTTGCCAGTAATTGACAAAATCTTAAATATGTGAAATGATTTTTCATGCTGCCCATAAAAACATGTAAAAAGTATCTAAAGTATGAAAAAGAAAGTCGATATAATAAATGCTACTGCCACAACTGTTGGACATGACTGCCACGCTGTCACAGCTTTCCAGTTCAACCAGGGAAATTTTCACCAACTCATTCACCCTGACGCACACAGCATTTATTTCCTGTTTACTGGCAATCAAAAGAAGTAAGTTACACAGAGGGAGGAGCTGTGTTTAAGGAAAAAAAATTTAAAAGGACAGACAGGAAGGTGGGGCAAGAAAGTTTAAAATCACATACGGGTGAAATTCAAGAAACAACCCTGGAGAGTCTCAGAGAAACCAGTGAAAGCAAACAAGCCGAGGATACATCAGACTCTTAAAGAAGCATCAGCACGCAGCACGGTGATGTTACTGCTACTACTCATCTTCTCACTGACAGGTAAAAAGATAACTAACACTTGTTAATACAACAGACTACTGAATGTTACATTACAATACATATGCTGCTGGTGATTATGTGTTTTGGATTGGTTTAAGATTTTTATTTTTATTTTATTTTATTTCAATTTCTTACTTTTTAAGTCTGTTCATATATTTTAAAAAATGGCAAAAAGGTTTTTACAACTCAAGCAAACAATCACATTTTAATCATATATAATATATAAATAGAAAAACTAAAATTGTGCTCATGCACTTTAATAAAATATATCATCTTATAAATGTTAACATTAATTATGTGCACCATTTCTTTTCTTTTACATAACACATTTTCACCTTGTTTATTAAAGCTTTT